CCTCCTCCTCCTCCTCCTCCTCCTCCTCCTCCTCCTCCTCCTCCTCCTCCTCCTCCGTCCTCCTCCTCCTCCTCCTCCTCCTCCTCCTCCTCCTCCCTCCCTCCCTCCCTCCCTCCCTCCCTCCCTCCCCTCGGGACTTACCAGAAGTGCTCGACAAAGTTCGAATGAAACTTTCTCTGCTCGGAAGTCAGACGAGTCCCCAGCTCTTCCCCAGCTCACCTCTCTTCGTACTCCTCCTCCCTCGCCGTCTGCAGCTCCAGTTTTCAGAGCAGGCGGAAGAAAACAATCGACAAGAGGAGGAACAGAGAAAGAGAAGAGCGAAGAGGAGAGGGGAAGAGGAAAAAAGGGTGTAAGAGCAGAGCAGAGAAGAGCAGAGCAGTGCAGTGCAGAGTAGAGTAGAGCAGAGCAGAGCAGAGCAGAGCAGAGCAGAGCAGAGCAGAGCAGAGCAGACCAGAGCAGGAGGACATCAAGTTGTTTCACCTCATCTTTCGATATGCAGTAGAGCGCCATCGCTGTCAACCTCTTCCTCAGCGAGGGATTCTTGTCAAAAACTCTCCACACCTGCACCAGCCGTTAGCCCCTCCCAGCTGCCCTCCAGCTGCCGTTACGTCTGTGCTGCTGAGCGTGTAGAGGGTGGCAGGGAAGGGAAGTCCTCCTGCGAAACAACGAATGACCCAGATGTCGCAACCTCCTCCCGCTGCTGCTGCTGCTGCTGCTGCTGCTGCTGCTGCTGCTGCTGCTGCTGCTGCTGCTGCTGCTGCTGCTCCTATGCTGCTGCTGCTGCTGCTGCTGCTGCTGCTCTTTCTCGTTCACCGACTCCTCCTCTTTCCCTCCCCCTCTCTGCTCGTTTTCCTTCTCCTCCTCTCCCTCCCACTCTTTTCTCCTCATTCTCTACCTGTCGGAACGACAATCTGCAGGACGAACGGGTCAGCCGAACGAGGAGGAGGAGAGGAAAAGTACCTGGCAGTGACATTCGTGGGGGAGGAGGATTGAAAGATGAGCGAAGAAAGTTTTCTCCAGCAGCACCGCCTGCGTCCTTCTTGTCACCTCCTCCTCTTCCTCCTCCTCTTCCTCCTTGACCTCCTCGATTCCATCCACCATCAAAGCAACTTTTCCTGCGGTAACCTGTCAACTTCAAGGAAGAGAGCAGAAAGAGGAGAAGGCAGGAGGGAGGAGAGGAAGGGAAGGAGATAGTAACAGGAAGGATCAGGAGAAGGGAGGCGAGGGAAGCACGGGAGGTACCAGATTCAACGAAGTAAATTCCTTCAAAGTCGGCTGAGAGCTTGTCAGAGTGACGAACAGATTGTTGCTGGTCCTCACCAACTTGCGATCCAGGTTCATACGTTCTCCTCGTCATCCTGCTGCACGTCAAGGGATCGAAACGAGCGAGAGCAAGAGAAGGAGGAGGGAGGAGGAGAGAGAAGAACGAGCAGGAGAAGAAGGAGAGCAGAGGGGGGAAGAGACGGTGAGAGAGGAGGAGATGAAGAAGGGGAGAAGAAGCAGAGGAGGAGGGAAGAACCTGTTAGTCAAGTACGCGAGAGCCTTCACATCATGGTAGCGGTTGAAAGCAGGGCAGCTCCTGCCGGGACGTCTCAGAAGGACGCACGTGAAGTTGGGAGGAGGAAGAGGAGCAAGAGGAGAAAGAGGAGGTCAGACTTTCTTAGTGTCCTATGTAGCCAATGGTTGCAAACGACCGACTCATCGAATGGTTCTCCCCCAAACTGAAAGCAAGTCAACCTATGTCTCCCCTCCTCCCCTATTGTCCCCCTCTCCTCCCCCCTTCCCTCCCCTCCTCCTCTCTTCTCTCCTCCCCCCTTCCCTTCCCTCCTCCTCTCTTCTCTCCTTCCCTCCTGCTCTCCTCTTCTTCTCGCCCCTTCCCTCCTACCTTGATCCAAGCATGATCGATCGCTTGTAGCGCGCTCAACCTCAGCTAAGTCCCATCAGTCCCTCTTCCGACGAACTTCGCAACATGTTTCTCCTCCCCCTCCTTTCCGCCCCTCGCCAGCAGCAGCAGCAGCAGCAGCAGCAGCAGCAGCAGCATGACCACGAGCACCAGCACAGCTACTCCTTCTCCTCCTCTACCTTAGGTTCATATGCCAGCATCCCTGTTATCAGATCCTTCGCATCTTTGCTTACTTGAGCGAAATATCGGTCTGGAAACTCAATCTGCACAAAGTAAGACAAGGCAAAGATTGAAGTGAGATGAAGATGCATATGGATACGGAGATGATGATGATGATGATGATGATGGAGATGAGGATGAGGATGATGATGATGATGATGGAGATGATGATGATGATGAGGAGGAGTTTGTGCTGATGAAGACGGCGAGCAAGAGGAGGAGGAGGTAGAGACCTTTCCCTGCTGCATTGCTTTGAGAAACTTTGGAATATTCTCATCGGACTGCCAGCAGCTCAGATGCGTCTGTCACTTTCCTCTCCCTCCGCCCTACCTGCGAGAAGGGAAGATCTGCGCTCAGCATCCAGTACATGATCGCTCCTGAGTATCCAGAGGCTGTCAGGGACTACACGCGGGAGGACAGGGGGCAGGAGGAGGAGCTGCACGCATGAGAGGGAAGTTCCTCACCGATAGACCACATGTCGGCTTTGTTGTCATAGGGTTGCCTCCTCCATATCTCTGTTGCCTCCCATCACTCGACCCTCTCCTCCTCCTTCCCCCTCTCCTCCTCCTTCCTCCTCTCCTCCTCCTTCCCCCTCTCCTCCTCCTTCCCCCTCTCCTCCTCCTCCTTCCCCCTCTCCTCCTCCTTCCCCCTCTCCTCCTCCTTCCCCCTCTCCTCCTCCTTCCCCCTCTCCTCCTCTCTCTCCCCCTCCTCACCTGGCGCCATAAACCCTGGAGTGCCGCACACGGTGTGCATCACATCGGACCCGCTGCGGAGGATCTGAGCAAGCCCGAGGTCGCAGACCTTGATCGTGTTGTAGTCCGGGTCTTCCTGCGTGAACGTGTGAGCCAGGAGGAGCGGGGAGGCAGCAAAGAAGAAGCAGGTCAAGTATTCAGGAGAAGCACGAAGAGTGAGGAGGAGAGTACCACTCAAACGAGGAGAGGGAGGAAGGAGGAAGAGCAAGGAAGGAGGAGGGAGGAGGGAGGAGGGAGGAGGAAGAAGGGAGGAGGGAGGAGGAAGAAGGGAGGAGGGAGGAGGGAGGAGGAGATGACAAACAGGCTCGATACCTCCACGTCAGACGCGTACATGAGGTTCTCAGGCTTGAGGTCTCTGTGAGTGATGTGCATGCTATGAAGACAGCGCATGGCCGATAGGATGCCCTCCAGCACCTTCGCCGCTTCCTGCTCGCTGTAAGGCAGCCCCATCTTATCCATCCTGCAACCAAGTTGAGCAGCAGAGCAGGCAGGGACGAGGAGACCTGTCGATCATGTTGCTTCCTCGCACCAGCTCCAGGATCAGACAGGCTCTCGTCGGCTCGTCGTAGACGGTGAAGAGTCGCATGCAGTTGGGATGCTCCACCTGCACACGCTGAGAAAAGAGCGCAGGCAACGACAGAGGAAGAGCGAGGAACGATGAGCAGCAAGAATGTGTGAAGTAGACTAATGAGGAGCCAATGGGGGCGGCGGAAAGATTACGAGAAAAGAGAACCAAGAGGAGGAGGAGCAAGGAACAAGAGTAGGAGCAAGGAACACGAGTACGGGCAAGGAACAAGAGTAGGTCACCTTCTTGAGGATATGGATTTCCTTCTCCATGGAAGGATGATCGTAGTCGGGTGAAAGTTTGGAGATAATCTGCCATGTCGTCAGACTCGATCTACTGACTCTCTATCAAGACACCTTGCAGGCAAAAGCCTTCTGACTCTGCTTGAAACGCGCCACAAAACCTTAGCAAATGCGCCCTCCCCCAGCATTCGTCCTAGTTTGTAGTCTTTCTGCACCCGATCGACACCCTTCACCACGGAGCCAACCACCTTGGGGTTCAGCTCCAGTCGCTTCAGGTCCACACTCTCAGGCACTCGCTCGACGATCCCAAAGTCAAAGTCCAACGCCTCCTCCCTCTTCGTCCCATGGAAGCCGGTCAGAAACTTGAAGAGGTTTTTCACCTGCTTCCAGTTTTGCTTGTGCTGCTGATCATCCAAGACCGGGGCAGGGTCCATGCTGACCCTGCCCCCTGTGTCCTGCTGTCCCGTCTCGGCAACAGGCGAGAGAAGCTCTTCGGGATCAGGACGAGAGGGTAAGAGAAGCTCTGAGAAGTTGTGATGACATTGGCTGCAAGGAGACGATACGCAAGGGCTGGGAAGAGTTCCACAAAACAGTCAATGTGATGGTTGGATTGAGATCCTGCTCAACTGAAGACATCGCGTCAGAATGTGCAGATACTACCGAAAGTGCATCCAATTCATCTCATCCCTATGACTTCCTTTTGTGCTAAAATAAAAACTCGAGTACCTCTTGCAGTATGCGATAACCATCTCGATGCTTGTGAGTACTTTCAGTTTGCTAAGTATCTCTCCATTGTCTCCAATACGATACCATCCATGCTGTAAGGGCAGTGCTCGTAGTTTCCCTGATTTTTCCTTTCCTCTCGTCTGATATCCTCTTCCCTTCAACTTTCCACTGGTATCCACATTTCCCATTCAGCCTTCTCCAACCGTTTCCTCTCCGCTCCTCCTTGTCTTTCTATCCCCCTGTTTCCCTCTATACCATATCCCGCTCATCCCTTCGCTCCTCTGTTTCCTCTCTTCCCATCTCGGGCTGTCCTGTCCTGTCCTGTCCTGTCCTGTCCTGTCCTGTCCTGTTGTCCTTCATTTCTCATTTTTTTTCGCTACAATTTGCAATTGAACCAACGGACCCTACCCACTTACCACCCCACCCCCCATGACAACCATGGACCACCCCTATCTCTCCATGCAGAAAGCACCAGGCAATTCTCAAGGAGGGTATAGGAAAGCATGGGGTAGGGGTGGTGTGACGGACACTACCCTACCTATTCAGTATCGAGATGTGCAAGTGTGAAGGGGGGGCCATTAGAAGACACAAAAGTGGAGGGGGTGGGGTTATGATGTATACAGGGGTACTACCAGTCAACGGAGGGGGTACATGGTGCCTGACCCAACGGTCCAGAGGAGGGTAGGGTAGGGTGATACTCCCCACTAATTGTATCTGCTGGTCCATCGAGATGCCCACCGGTAAAACATTTTAAAGTTCATAGCGCTTCAGTACCAGAGACCCTCCGTCAGTACACTTGACCCAATTATATATCTCAAAATATTGGTACTCCTACTAAAAAAAGGTCAAAGATATGGTACACTTTTATATATCTGACTTGTTGATCCCCCTCCCCTACGTCCGCCCTGCAGTCTACGACCCCAGCTACGACCCGGGTGGGTCCTATCAGGTACTGTATGAGAGTAGGACCTCCCCTATTGTGGGGTATGAGAGGATCTATTACCAGTTCATCGCCCTCATTCCCCCTATCAATGAGGCGGACCTGCTGTAGGAGGTTCAGCTCTGATCCTTTTTAAATGGAGTTTAGTTTGGTTTTTGTGGTTTCTGAAGAAATGCCGTTACAAGTTTGTGGGGAGAAGACCATGAGAGGGAGGGAGGGAGGGAGAGGGAGGGAGGGAGGGACAACAGAGCGAAGTAGATAGAGTAACGACAAGACGGAAATCGAAAGAATTCACGTTAGCGAATGATGGTAAATTGACAGAGAGTGACAGCGAATGAAGGGAGAAGAATACCGGACAGAGATAAAGAAAACGTTGATGTACATACTAGAGCGGGAGGGAGGGTTTAAGAAGGAAAGAACGAGAATGCAGTTTATTCCAGCAAACCAATCTTGATTTGATCAAGGTGACAATTCTCAACCTACCTTGCAGGTCTCGTACGTTCTGGTCATTCTGCCGACTACAAGCATAACCGACTTCGGACTTGCTTTTTTCTTGTGCCCTCGCTTGCCTTCTCTCGCTCTCTGTCACGATCTTCTTGAAATTTCATTCATCGATTCACAGGCAGATCTTTTAGTCTTTCAAACCCAAGATGACCTCGCAGGTGGTTTATTCCAACCTTTCTTGGAACATGCTGAGAATACCTCTAGGATTATAACATCGCATTGTACTTTCAGCGGCCAACCAAGCTGGAGGACAAGGAGGAGCAGCAAGTCATAGACGTGGAATCTTGTTCTGAGGAACAGATGGTTACGCTGACACGGAAGCATCTCGAACAGCTGCTCGCTTGTCTTCCAGGTAAGTCGTCTGATCTAGATCTCACCCCCCTTGTCGACAGATCTCTTCCTGATGAGCCTCGCGTGCCCCCCGAGCTCTGCGCCATCCCCGAGTCCAAGACGTCTCATCTGCAGGCTCTCAGAAAGCAGCTCATTAAGGCGGTTCCAGCTACCGGCCAGCGAGACCGAGTGCACCAGTTTCTCAGCTCGCTACTCGATTACGTCTCTTACATGTGCGAGGCGTTGGATCAGTCGGAAAACTCGAGGATCGCATGCGAGCTTGACAGAAAGATCGCAGCGAAGATACGCGGCGACATCATACCCACCATCCGAAACTTTTGTAACGATATCAAGAGCGTCACATGCGAGCAATGCTCGGATGACGTTATCACGAAGTCTATCGAAGCTGTCAAATCAGCTGAGTCGAGAGTAGCTCAAGCAAAGGACGTGTCAAGCAAGAAGAGACTTATCCACGAGGTCTGCTTGCCATCTCCTCCCCCCTTTCCCCGCCTCTCTCTTCCTTTCTCTCTTCCTCTTTTCCCACTGACACCCTCACAGTTGTGGGAGAAGTCGTTGTCAGCGTTGAAGAACCTCAGGAGCGGCAGAGACACGCTCGAGCAGGCGCAGGCGAAGGCGTCTGCCTCGGAGGAGGTGAAAGAGAAAGTCCAGCTGGACCTCAAGAGAGAGTCGGAAGCCATCGAGGCAGCGAGAAGCGACGCGCTCGGCCTGCGGTCACACCTCACTGAATGTCAAGACAAGGGAGACAAAGTCCTCAACTTCCTGCAGGAGGATGTGAAGAAGCAGGAGGAGGAGGAGCAAGAGGCCCTCCAGCAGTACCACACTGAGCGCGAACATGTGCTTCGCATCCTCCTACCCCTCTTGCAGCCGCTTGTACAGAGTCATCAGCGAGCAGAAGCTGCCAAGAGGAAGGCAGATGAGCTTCGGCGGATGCAGGGGATATGCGAGCGAGAGTGGAAGGAAAGGAGGAAGAAGAGGATGGAGGAGATGGACAGCAACCTGGACAAGTTTTGCGGGTCTCTTGAGAGGTACAATAAGGTGATCGAGAGCTTCCACGACGGGGCCGAGCACGTGTTAGCTGCTATGAACAGCTCCAGCATGCAGCTGAGAGAGAACTTGACGAGGAAGCAGTCGAGGTGGAGCGAGCAGCTGGCGGCGCTGCACGAGCAGACGTTTCTGAGTCTGAGCGAGGCTCAGATCCGGAACGAGGCGCTGCTGGAGGAGTGGAGCTCAGAATCTCAAGCCCTGCATGAGGCTCTCGAGGCAGCGGTGGAGCGGCTTGACTCAGTGGAGGAGTCGAAGATCAAGGAGCAGCAGCGGACAATGGAGCGACGGGTCAAGGAGGTGCTGGAGGAGAACAAGGAGATCGAGAAGCGAGTGGCGGCCGTTGAGACTCTGTTCAAGCCCGTGCTCGAGGACCTGCAGCGAGGAAGAATCGGGTTTGCGGTGTCGAGAGAGGCGATGGCGTCGGAGGGGATGCGGCGCGAGGAGTGGGTGTTCTCTCTCGGGGAGCGGCTCGTGCGCGATCTCCGACCCTCCCTCGATGCTCTTCGGCTTCGCGTCCGCCAGCAGCGGCTGGAGCAGCTGCGAAGGAACCACAAGAGAGAGTTTGAGGTCATCAGGAAGATGAAGGAGCAGCTGGACTCGGAGATGCTCCCGTTTCGCTCTCCTCCCGCGAGGCTGCTCACCTTTCAAGAGGACAGAGAGAATAGCTCGGACTCCAACATCCTCCTGGGTAAGCGGACAGGGGGCGCGTTCTCAGCTGTGCAGCAGAAGCGAGGACGAGTGGATGAGCAGGAAAAGCAGTCCGTGATCAGCATCGACTAGCATACTTGACAAGGTTCATCGACTAGCTTCATAAAGTTCATGTAACAACATCTCCCTGTATCACCCCCAGCTGCTGCTCGGGCTGCGACAGAGGTCAGGATGCGTTTCCAGCTGTCGAGTCGGCTCACCTGAGGGGGGCCTGGAGGCTGGGGCTCCTGGACAGGCTGCTGGCCCATGAAGAAGTTGTTCTGGTAGCATCCCCAGGTGCTGCCTCCCATGCGCAAGTTCGACTGGTCGGTGAGGCATCGGCCCGGGCACGAGGAGCCCTGGCATGGCACGACGTCGTTCACCACCTCCTGCTCCGCGATGCTCTTCTGCGCGGGAGGAAGCGAGGCGACGAGCTGTAGGAGGGCAGCTGCCGTCTCAGTTTGATTCTCCTGCGTGATGTGAGGGCGGAGATGGAGGAAGAGGAGGAGGAGGGAGTAAGAAAGAGAGGGAAGGAGGAGGGAGCAAGGAGAAGATGGGGAGGGGAGCAGGGGAGAGGAGGAGGAGCTACCAGCACTGCCATGCCGTAAGGTGTTCGATGCTGCCAGAGGTTCACGACGTCGAGTCGAGCCCCGTAGGCCACCAGGTTTCTTGCTGTTTCTGTCTGCCCCTCCATCGCCGCGTAGTGCAGGGCCGTGTTGTGCGCCTGGTCCCCCGCGTTGAGGTTGGCCCCCGCGAAGTAGAGGGAGCTGAGGATGGAGGGGTACGGTCCTCCCCAGCCTGCGCGTCATGTCAGGTCAGCCTCCTCCTCGCATGCCTCACCGTAGATCCCTAGGAAGTGAGCGGGCGTGCGGTAGGAGGCGTCGAGGGCGTCGGTGTAGGCGCCGCGAGCGAGGAGCGTCTTGACGGTCTCGTTCTGCCCCTTGATCACTGCCCAGTGCAGAGCCGTCATCTGGTTCTCGTCGTAGGCGTTGGGATCGGCACCGGCTGTGAGGATACTCGTGACGTTGGCGAGGTTGAAGTCCCCCAGCAGCACCGCCTCCAGGAGCTGCCGGGTGAGAGAGCTGATGGAGGAGGAGGGGACGAACTCCCTCGGGCCATGGAGCCGATCAAGAGAAGCGTTGGCTACTTGAAAGGAAACGAGCAGGGACAGAAGAACAAGAAGCTTGAAAGGAGATGAATCCATGTACAGCTCAAGGCCTCCTCCTCCTCCTCCTCCTCCTCCTTACTGCTTACTTGTTGTATCCAGTCTCTTCTTTTCTTCTTCTGTTTGTCCTGTCAATGTTGGGGTTGTCCACTAGATTCCTGCATGCCAACTTAAACAACAGCTTCGCATGTAACGACATGTTTCTCTTTCTCTTTCATCGTGGCCTCGCTGCTGCTCTCGTCTCTGCTGCTCTCCTTCACATATCTCGCTCAGCGTGGCAAATTTACCGTTTCGTTTCTCGCACTTTCTCTCTTTGCTCCTTCGTTAATTTCTGATGACGTTGACGGAGGAGAGCAACCAGACATTTGCGAACATTCTTAGTATTCAACTCTGATGTCTTCCTGACTTCTCACTTTGCTCCTCTCCTCTTCTCTCTCATCGTCTTCTCTCCTCTCTCATTACTTCTCCTCTCTGATTTCCTCCTGCTCCTGCTCCTGCTCCTGCTCCTGCCCCTCCCCGCTCTTCTACCATTTTGCTCGACGTCGCTATCGTTAAACCGACGCTACAGATCTGATACGTGAGGGGCGAATGATGCAGATCTGATACGTCACTTAGCTCAGGGGCTTGTAACGGATCGGACGGGGACTACCACCATTTTCACTTATCTTGCTTCAACAGTAACGGAAGCACTAGATAGTCAACTGCGCTGCTGTCATCATGGCGTGAAGCCTCCGACTGCTACTGAGAGCGCAGCGGCAGCCCTCGCTCACGGGTTCGAGGTGGCACCGGCGAACTTGCCCTGGGTGAGGATGAGGAGCAAGGAGGAGCAGGAGAGGATGAGATGACGTACCGCCATCATGGACTTGAAGTCTGCGAGGATCCGATTCTCGCGCTGCTGTCGCTCCTCGAAGTTGAACATGGCCAGAGCGCGCTTCTCCTCTGCGGAGTAGACCTGGAGGACTCACTCAATCTCTCACCTCCCTCCCCTCGAGGTCCCCGGCCTCTTCCTCAGTCGCGTCATCCGGCACTCGCCTGGTTCTCCTTCCTGATACGAACGGCGTTCATCCTCTTGTGGCGGGAGCCGCTCATGACGAAGCCTTCGGTCTCGAAGCTCTCGATCTCGTCGGCCTTGAGACCAACCTCTCCTCGTCGCGGGATGCGCTTCCCCTCCTGCACGTACGAAGCGATGGCAGCTCCCTCACCTGCCACCAGTCAAGACGCCGCAGTACTGGGCCCGCCTGGTACCGGGACGGAGAGCTCCGCCATAGATGCTGTCATGCGCCTTGCCTACGATCTCCTCGGAGTCGAGAGGACGGGAGGGCCCTGCTTCCACTTCCTCCAGGTCCAAGTCCTCATCCTTGCATGCCGTCACACCTCCTCCTCCCCACCTCCTCCCTCACCCTCATCTTGTGAGCTGCAGCAAACACCAGCTCCTCGCCCATGATGTCCTCCTCCTCGTTGTTGGCTGGCTCTTCCTCGCTCGAAGGCTTCTCTGAACTGCTCTCCTGCTTCTTCTGAGACAGGAACTAAGCGAGCAGAAGCAGACAAGTACGCAAACCTTGCTTGATTTCTTCTTGGAGTGCTTTCGCTTCTTTTCGCTCTTTTTCTTGCTCTTCTTCTGCAAGTTTCCATGAGCGACAGGTTGAGACAGAACAGAGGGGAAGACGGTCTGAAGAGGGGAGGAGATGGTCTGACGAGGGGAAGACGGTCTGAAGAGGGGAGGAGATGGTCTGAAGAGGGGAGGAGATGGTCTGAAGAGGGGAGGAGATGGTCTGAAGAGGGGAGGAGATGGTCTGAAGAGGGGAGGAGATAGTATTGAGGGTCCGAAGCGTCCTTCACCTTTTTCTTCTCGTCTTTCTTCTTCTCTTCCTTGCCCTTGCTGTCCTTGTCGGAGCCTTCCTTCTCACGCTTGCTCTCCTTCTCCTCCTCCTCCTCCTCCGATTCGCTTCGTTTCCTTGCCGACGCTGCCTCGTCCTTCTTCCTGGCCTCCAGCACCTTCCTCAGCTCGCGCTCTCTCGCGCTCTTTGTAAGGTCTTCGTCGTCTGAGCTCGCGTAGATCGTGGTTCTCTTCTTGTACGTCACCTCCTCCCGCTCTCTCCTGCGACGATCTCGCTCCCCGTCGTCTCCGCGACTGTATCCATGCCCCCCCTTGCTCTGATCCCAGTCCCGTCCGCCCTGCCCTCTCCTTCCTGGAGATCCTGACCTCTGCCTCCTTGGGCTGCTCCTGCTCCTGCTCCTGCTCCTGCCCCTTCCTCTGCTCCTGCTCCTGCTTCTATCCCTTCCCCTGCTTGGAGGGCTCCTGCTCCTTCCCCTCCTGCTCGGAGGGCTCCTGCTTCTCCCTCTCCTACTAGGAGGGCTTGTGTGCCAAAGTAGCAGTTACTCCCAAGAACAGCGAGAGGAGAGCAAACGGGGAGGTAGAGGTCATTGAGCACGAGATGAGAGATGATGAGCAAGAGCAAGGGTTTCAAGCGTTCGCAAGCAAGGAAAGACTCAACGATGAGAACAAGAAGGGTTCTAAGAGAGTAGGAAGCTGGCGGACCAGCGAGTAGCAAGTGACAAGACTGAATACCTTGAAGAAGATCGTCGTGGACTCGACGAACTACGCCTTCTTCCCATGATCTACATGAGATGTCAGCGACGAGATACCACTACACGACATCTTCTTTTCTTTCTTTCTTTCTTTCTTTCTTTCTTTCTTGTTTTCTTGCGATTTCAACCAGTTTGGCTAAAGTTCTGGTGCTCCTCATTCTTCTTCATGATGTTTTTCTGTGTGTGAGTACAAAGCCCTTCCTTTTATCCCTCTCTGTCTGCTCGGTTCTTCTACCTGCAATCTACTTGCCCCTCCTTCCTCTCCCTCACCCCCTGCTCCCCTCTCTCGCAGCTTCCTCTGTATCAGTCCTCGTTTTCGTCTCGTCTCATCTAGTCTTGACGAGTCCGGGTCTCGTCCCTATCCTGATCCTGATCCTGCTCCTGCCCATGATCCTGCCCTTGCCTCTGCCTCTGCTCCTGCTCCTGCTCCTGCTCCTGCCTCTGCTCCTGCTCCTGCCTCTGCCTCTGCTCCTGCTCCTGCTGCTGCTGCTGCTCCTGCTCCTCCTGCTGCTGCTGTTCCTGCCTCTGCTCCTCCTCCTCCTCCTCCTGCTGCTGCTGCTCCTGCTTCTGCTTCTGCTCCTGCTCCTGCTCCTGCCTCTATCATCAGTTCCTCATGCAGGCTATGGCGGCTAGCGAGGGCGCACAAATTGGAGAGGATCGATCATGGGGTAGGGGGGGTTACTACCCCACCCTATTTTTAACAATTCAACTTCCTCTAAATATAGGGTACCATCTTCAAGCGTAGGGTAGTACTGGACCCAATCGAGGGTGTTTAAGAGACTGGGGGTGGGGTGGTGTTGCGATCGGATACACGAGATGGACGGCAAAATGGGCAAAGAAAACCTGTTGAGGGAGATGAAAGAGGTAAGAGCGATCATGCGAGGAGAGAAGAAGAGCGATCATGCGAGGAGAGAGGAAGAGCGACCATGCGAGGAGATATCGAGGAGAGAGGAAGAAACGATAGAGATATGACTGGGAGAGGCGAGGAGAGAGGACAGAGAGGAGAGAATGGAGGGGAGACAGAAGAACCATCGAGGAATTGAACGCATAGAATGAAGTAGAGAGATGTGACTGAGCGAGTAAGAGCACGAACCCCACCACACAGTTGTGTTGTTCTATTGAGAAGCCTGATGGTGGTGTTGGTCTGTTTTAGGAATCAGAGATGCAGATAATGCAGGACATCTATAACAGCATAACCTCCAAATGCTTCAACAAGTGTGTGAGCAAGCCAGGGGATCGATTGGATAAAGGTGACTCTTGTTGTTCCCCTGTCTCCCTCCTCTATCCTCCTCCTCCTCCTCCTCCTCCTCCCTCCTCTCTTTTCCTTCTCGTACTCCTCCCTCCTCTCTTTTCCTTCTCGTACTCCTCCCTCCTCTATCCTCCTCCTCCTCCTCCTCCTCCCTCCTCTCTTTTCCTCCTCGTACTCCTCATTTGTTTTGCAGACCAGCAGGTCTGCCTTGCGAAATGTGTCGATCGACTTCTAGAATCTCGAAATGTTCGTAACTTTCCCTTCCCGTCCCGTCCCGTCCCGTCCCTTCCCTTCCCTTCCCTTCGTTTTGCCGCTTTTCCCTTCAGTTTCCTTCCGTTCCCTGTCCTGTCCTGTCCTGTCCTGCCTTCACCCCAACCGACCGCCGCCCTTCTTCCCTCTTGTCTTCTCCCTCTTGTCTTCTCCCCCCTCAGTCTCGGTGCTTCTCTCCATCTTCTCTGCATGTCATTGTCCTTGTGCTCGCTCTCTCCCCTAGTCCCCTGCTTCCTCTTCCACTCCTCCTCCTCCTCCTCCTTCCTGCCTCTGACTTTCCTCCTCTTTTCTGTCCCTCCTGCCTCTCACTTCCTTGTCCTCCTCTCAGGTTGTCACGGAAACAATGATTGAGCGAGGAGGAGGGAGCAAGAAGTGAGGAGTAGGAATTCATCTTGACATTTAAGTTGCACATGTGGAATCAGTATTGAAATGACCTCAACAAATAAAAATGTAGGCAGCCCATCACTGTAGTCGTCGATCAAGGCTTTCCATGTACTGCCGGAATCATCAGCATCCCTCCACTTCCTGCCCCCTCTCTTCCACCCTACTTCTTCCTTCTCCTTCTTCCCATTCACCTCCTCCCCCCTCCCCCCCCCCCTCTCCCTCTCACTCTCTTCCAGTCCCTCCCTCGCTCCCTCGCTCCCTCGCTCCCTCGCTCCCTCCCATGTTTCATCTCTTCCTCAAGTCTCCCCCCCTCCCCTCTACCACCTGGGTACGTAGCTCATCGAGGGCCTGTGAAACTTTCAGCGAGGAGGGAGAGAAAGGTGGGAAGGGGAGGAACTTAGTGGGTAAGAAAGAGACAGAAAGAGGAGAAGTCAAGCAGAGGAGTCGTGGAGGACAGGGAGAGCAGAAGAAAATCGACTCGGAAAGAGGCGGGCAAATGGAATGTAGCAGAGATTTGAAGCGAAAGGGAGGAGGGTGAGGTGGATGAGAAGGTAGCGGAGGAAGAGGGAGAGAAGGATAAGGAAGAGGAGGAGGGAGAGGAGGAGGACCTTGTTGAAGTCGACTGGCTTGTCACTTTCTCCTGTTGCTTGTGCCTCCTCCTGCACCAATACCTCACTCCTCCTCCCCTCCTCTCCTCCTCTTACCATCGGTGTGTCAAGCTGTTGCTTGCCGTCCTTGGCAGCTGAAACTCCTCGACTCAGAGGAGGAAAGAGATGCAGCAGGAGAGTCGACGGAAGACAGCGCAGGAGGAAAAGGCGGGGTGAGGGAGGAGAAGGAGAAGGAGAAGGAGAAGGAGAAGGAGAAGGGAAGGGAAGGGAAGGGAAGGGAAGGAGAGTTGGGGGCTGGGGGCGCACCAGAGTCGATCTTGGCGAGGAGATCTTCGATTGCAGACTCGAAACTGAGGGAGGGAGTGAGACGAGCCGAGAGAGCAAAGGAGGACAAGCGACGTACGAGGCAAGCGCGAGGGAATGCCGGGAGAGGATAGGGAAGGAGAAGAGAAGAGGAGAGAGGAGGGAGGAGAGGAGAGGAGAGGAGAGGAGAGGAGAGGAGAGGAGAGGAGAGGAGAGGAGAGGAGAGGAGAGGAGAGGAGAGGAGTGGAGAGGAGTGGAGAGGAGGGAGCATCATTAGATGGGATGGGATGGGCTGCGATGGGATGGGAGGGACGGGGAGAAGAGGGTTGAAGAAGGAAAGAAGATGGAAACAGAGCAAGCAGATAACTCACGGTCTGCCGGGGAAACCGAGCATACCGGCTAATCGCCACAAGCCTTCGACCTCCTCCAGCAGTTCCCGGGCTGCTCAAACGCTCAGCTCGGGAGGGACAGGAGGGAGGAGGGCGAGAGGAAGAGACCTTGTGGGTAGAGGCCCTGCTGGACTAGCTGCTCGGCCTTGAGGAATTTCTGCAGCGGTTCGTTCATGTCTAGCTGGGGTCATGCTGGAGTTCCAACGTCACCTGGTCCGCGTCCTCCTTTGCTCGCGATTTCTTTTCTAGCTCCTCGTCTCGTTGTCCCAGACTCGCTGCTTTCACTATCAGCTTTACCTCCTCCTCCTCCTCCTCCTCCTCCTCCTCCTCCTCCTCCTCCTCCTCCTCCAGTCACGCCTGCTATATCACCTGCCATGGAGCGCACACTGTCTTTCCTCTGCTGCTTGACTAGAAGTCTTTCCTCCCAATGGTTCTCCGGGTAGGCGGAGCGCTAGCAAAGGACGAGCATTAGGACGTGAAGGCAGGAGGAGCAGGGAGGGGAAAACGTTCAGAGGAGAGGATCGAGTTTCTCAGGGGATGGGAAAGGAAGGGAGGAGACGAGCAACGAGGAGGGCAGGAGGAGATTGAGAGTAGGGTGAGGGGGGGAAGAAGACTTCCACCATCTCTGCTCCGAGCTTCCAGTCTGCGAAGAGAACGAGACTACGGGCCTGCCTCAGCTGAGCTCGGACCTGCAGGAAGAGCTCGTTCAACAGAGACAGGAAGAGGGTGAGGGAGAAAACAAGGAGGAGAGCGCGAGGAGGAGCGCAGAGGAGAAGAGGGAGGAGGAGCGCAGAGGCGAAGAGGGAGGAGGAGCGCAGAGGAGAAGAGGGAGGAGGAGCGCAGAGGAGAAGAGGGAGGAGGAGCGCAGAGGAGAAGAGGGAGGAGGAGCGCAGAGGAGAAGAGGGAGGAGGAGCGCAGAGGAGAAGAGGGAGGAGGAGCATGGAAGGAGGAGGAGGGGAGTTTCTATCTTGACCTTGACTTCATCATTGAGCTGCGCAAGGTCCTTCAGGGCCTCGGCATCTTCAAGCTTGGCGGTCGCCTGATTTGAGACGTCAGGACGAGGGAGGAGAGAGGAAGCGACTCGTTCCTGATCGATCTTCTCCCTCCTCTCCTTGACATCCGACTTGACGGAGCTGCTGATCATACTGGAGATCTCGTCGCAAAGAGAGCAGACTAGATTCGACGGGATGCTCTTCCTCTCTCCTCCCTCCAGGATCACTCGCTCAAAGTCTTCCGCTGCCTTCGCATACACGGATCCTCCTCCTCCTCCTGCGTTCCATCCTCGTCTTGCCTTGTGCAGTTCTTGTATCGCCTCTGCGCTCTTCCCTTCCCCCGCAAGACGGCAGGCATCGCCGAAAGCTCTGAAGCATTCTCGCTCGTCCAGCTCCCTTGTCTCGCTGGCTCCGAGAAGGCACGCGGCAGCCAGCAGCGAGTCTACCAGGAGGCAGCCGAGCAGGAGGGGACGACCAGCGATCCTCCAGGGAGAGACGATGTAGAGGAGGAGGAGAGGCTGGATGAGGAGGGAGACAGCAGCCCCTGCGTGAAGATCCCGCCAGGTTCCTCCTCCTCTCCTCTCCGACCACGAGAGGGCGGAGGCAACGCCGGATCGCAGAAGCGCTCCTGCTGCGGTGAGACGCAGGGCAAAGAGAGCACGAGGAAGGTCCGTGAGTTCCAAGACTCCCAGCCATCGCGTCACGAGCAGAGGAGCTGCTGCTGCTGCCAGCGCCTGAACCAGCGAGACAAGGAAGAGAAGCGGGTAGAATGACCCCATCGGACCCGCCAATGAAGGAAGGAGGGGCAGATTGCCTGCTGCTGCTCCTGCTGCTCCTGCTGATCCTGCTGCCTCCTCGCTGCTCATCTTCCATATCCAGAAGCTGATGAACATGGTGACGGCCGAGGTCAAGAGGAAGCACGCAGGCAGCAGGTTGATGCGCGCAGCTGCCAACATCGCCGACATGGCACCATAGAAGACGAGAAGCGAGGAAGCTGCCAAAGCAAAGATCATGTGGCGGTAGGAGGTGGAGGAGAGCTGCTCGCGCCTCGCTGCTTTCTTGAGGGAGCTCAGGAGGAGGAAGAGGAGGGGGTAGAAGCTTCCTCCCAGCAGCAGCAGACCTCGCTCTGTTCCCGCCATGGCAGAGACCGAAGCGGTGAGGAGAAGAACAAAGCCAGCTCCCCCCCAGCTGCTGCTCACCGCGTCCATCACCTTCACCTGCTCCTCCTTGACCTCGGACGACGTGGCGACGGGCGAGGCGAGGATGCCAGAGGATCCGCGCATGCCGCGAGCGTGGAACGAAGGAGAAGGGAGAGGGAGGAGGGAGGAAAAGGAGGCCATGGGTAGGGCTCGGGAGAGAGGAAGAGGAGGATGGAGGGGAGGAGGGAGAGGTGCGGGCAGATGAACGAAGAGCAGCGGCGCGAGCATGTTTCCCTGACGCACGCCGTAAGTTTCACTCATCGAAAAAAGGCAGAATGAGCAAATTAGAGCAAAATATGCTGCCCCGATTAATGCAGATACGACGAGATGAGATGAGAGGACTGAGGGGAGGCGAGGGAAGGAGAGGAGAGGAGAGGAGAGGAGAGGAGAGGAGAGGAGAGGAGAGGAGAGGAGAGGAGAGGAGAGATGAGATGAGATGAGATGAGATGAGATGAGATGAGATGAGAGTAGATGAGATGAGCTGAGATGAGCTGAGGTGAGATGAGATGAGATGAAAGGTGATGGGAGGGGAGCGGGGGATAAGAGTAGAACAAGGTGTGCTGGATCATGGGATGTGACTTGTCGATCCTCCCTCAGGAGCTTCTGCCATGGCGCTCGAGCGGACGTGCGTTGTGGAGGAGGGGCTGGCGGGGTTGGAGGTCCGGGACATGAGCGCACACATGGGCCCGCAAGGAACGATCGCCATCACGAGCAGGCAGGGCCTCTGGTTCGCCGTCGACGATCAGCTGGGGAGAGATGGGGAGGAGGAGGGGAGAGGGGATGAAGGAGGCGGGAGGTCGAGGAGGGTGGAGCCTGTGGTTCAGAAAGACGCAGCAGGAAAGTGGCTTGACCTTGGCAGCGTCTGCTGGTGTCCTGATGCTGCGCGGGCGGGCTGGCTGGCGGCAGTGAAGCAGAGGAGTGTGATGTTGTGGGACGCTGGGCTTGGAGCAGCTTGCGGGAGCTCGGAGGCAGGAGGAGGACGATCTCTGACGGATGTGGACTGGGGGCCGATGCTTGTGGCAGGAAGCATGGACGGCATGATCTCGGTGTTCGATCCTCGCGACGTCGGCTCGCCTGTTGTCTCGCTCCTCACCAAGACCATCGGACACACTCAAGTTCGCTGCTGCCGGAGGAACAGCAACCTCCTCGCGTCCGCTCACGCTGGCAACGTGCTGGTGTGGGACGTGAGGGCGGGGAAGCGTCCTCTAGCGACCATGATGGCGCATGTCAGCAACAAGGTCGGCAAGATCGACTGGAGCCCTTGCAACGCGGAGGAGCTGGTGACCTGCTCGCCTACCGAGAGCGAGGTCAAGCTGTGGAGGGTGAGCCAGCCGCAGCAGGAGCACGCGACCTTGAAGATGTGCTCGCACGTCAGCAGCGCCATGTTCTCTCCCTCCGGCGACATGCTCCTCACCGCCCATGCCGACTGTCGTCTCCGCCTGACCGCCATCAGCACCAGCTCCACCCTCCTCACCATCCCCACCGCCACTGTCGTCGAGCGGCGAGTCGACTGGGTCTGTCCTGTCGGCGACGCTTCCGTCCTGCTGCCATGGCGGGTGGCGGCGATCACTTCGCCGGTGGGAGGGAGCAGGGTGAACGTGCTGAAGGAGTGGGTGCTGTCCTCTCAACCCGAGCATGCGGCTGAGACTGCTGAGCGAGCAAACAGCTCAGCAGACTCGGAGGGCGAAGAAGTTGAAGATGGATACAACACGACCCACAGACTCTTACAAGCTGAGGACCTGCTGGGCGTTGACAGCATCCACATCACGTGACCTCTCTTGCTCCTCCTGCTCCTCCTGCTCTTCCTTTTCCGTTTCACCAGCCATCTTGCTCTTGCCTGCCATTGTCTGTTTTGTGAAGACCTTCCTTTTATGTCTGCTCGCCTCCCTTCTGTCCTCCCCCCCCCCCCCTCCCTCACGCTCTCTCTCTCTCTCTCTCTCTCTCTCTCTCTCTCTCTCTCTCTCTCTCTCTCTCTCTCTCTCTCTCTCTCTCTCTCTCTCTCTCTCTCTCGTCGTCGTCGTCGTCGTCGTCGTCGTCGTCGTCGTCGTCGTCGTCGTCGTCGTCGTCGTCGT